CCTGTGACGTTCACAAACTGTTGTCCCAGACTCTTTAGGTAAAGCTATGAAAATTGATTTCAACATTTCTTCAGGAACATTTTCTGTGTTTTCTGCATTGTATACAATGTTTGCTATTTCTGTGATCTCTTCTATTCCAAAATCATCTAACGCATTAACTAATTCAAATGCGATGTTATCACTTCCCGTAGCTTTTCCACTTTTCATTTGATCCATTGCATTTTTTATTTCTGTTGATGTTATTGCTCTTCCCTCCATCGGCTTTCTTATTACTGGTCTTTCTTTCCTTCCATCATCAGCATAGAGACCCTTTATGTAATTAGTCCACCTCTTCTTTACTGCTACCTCATCCATCAGAACTAAGCCATCTTCATCTTTAATACAGCTAGTCAGATTTTTCTTTCTTTTGTATGTAATTTGTCTAACTTTATCATGCATTATTTGTACATCCTTCTTTTCAAGATCTTCAATTTCTGCACAACACGCGTCCAGATACTCTTCCTTTGCTGTTTTACACATCTTTCTAATTTCTTTATTCACTTTGTTATACTTTCCTTGATTACCTTTTGCTAACCTTCTCTCTTCCATCTTTTCCAGTATCTCACTAGTCATAAATTTTCCTGTAAAATTACCGTCAAAATACTGGCAACCAGGACGCCTTCATCAATGCATTCTTTAAAAACTTCCATGCATGTGTATCTTCAGATGGTGACTTTCTTTGATATTGATCTTTAAAATTTTGGCAAAAATTTTTCTTGATATCATTTCCACTTTTCAAAAGTTTTGATTGAAATTGATTAGTAACATTTTTCTGCTTTCTTCGATGAACTTTCTTTAACCTCATTTTGAATTTTCCACTGAGCAGTATATGGTCAGTGTTGCAATCAGCACCTGGATACGTCCTTACTCTTTTCACAGCGTTTCGAAATCGTTCTTTAATCATTATAAAGTCAATCTGGTTCCGGCAGCCATCTCCTGGACTCTTCCATGTATACAAATTTCTTGGATGGTGTTTGAAATGTGTGTTTGTTACAATCATTCGGTTTTCTCTGCACCACTCCACCTGTCTCTTATACTCTGCACCACTCCACTAACCTCTCGCCTCGTGCGTTTCTCTGACCTAGTCCATACTTTCCAACAATTTTGCCTTCTTCATTTTGTCCAATTTTCGCATTGAAATCTCCCATGACTATTGTTATGTCATGAGATTTGCATTGTTTCATTGCCTCCTCTAATTGATCATAGAATTTATTTATTTCATCATCGTTGCAGTCAGTTGTAGGGGCATAACATTGTATCACAACTGTATCAAACGGATTGCACCGAAGTTGTACTAGCATGATTCTGTTAGAGATACACTAGACGCCGGCGATACTTTTAGCACTTTCTTGATCGAGAAATATACCCACTCCATGCTCATGCTTATTTTCTGTTCCACCCGAGTATATAAATGTGGCCCCTTATGATATGACTTTCCCTGCTCCAGGCCATCTCACTTCGCACACACCCAGGATGTTGATGCTTAACCGTCTCATTTCTTTTAAGATATTGTCCATTTTTCCACTTTGATACATCGTTCTTACATTCCAAGTCGAGATGTTTGATATTGTTGTATTTACTTTAGAATAGATATTATTTCAGAATTTCACAATTTCAACAAAATTATTCATATCTATTACTGAAATAGTTCTTACAAAATTCTAGAGCAGTACCTTTAAGACCATAACATTTGAGCTTGAGAACCGAGGTGTCATGATGTCGAAAGCTTTAGAAAGGTAAATGTATAATATGCATATTTAGGGGTGTATGTTTGTTATCAACTTCATAAATTAATCTTTCGACTGTTTCCAATGCAGCCGTACTATCATAGTAAATGTTTTTGCTATAAAAATAGTTATGCTGCAATTGATAAAAAAAAAATCTTTTCAAAAACTGGTAGTAACATCAGCATGCATTATTGCTTTAAATAACCAATAATATATACAATAACAATAGAGGACCCAAGTGGTATCCTATGGGTTATCCACTTTAGAATAGATATTATTTCAGAATTTCACAATTTCAACAAAATTATTCATATCTATTACTGAAATAGTTCTTACAAAATTCTAGAGCAGTACCTTTAAGACCATAACATTTGAGCTTGAGAACCGAGGTGTCATGATGTCCAAAGCTTTAGAAAGGTAAATGTATAATAGGCATATTTAGGGGTGTATGTTATCAACTTCATAAATTAATCTTTCAACTGTTTCCAATGCAGCCGTACTATCATAGTAAATGTTTTTGCTGTAAAAATAATTATGCTGCAATTGATTAAAAAAAAATCCTTTCAAAAACTGTTTTAAAGAAAGTTATATCAATTAAAATCCATGTAATCTTTGTACGTCGGAAGGTAGTGGTTTACCAGTTTGCAAATGTACCGGAACTGGCTGCACATGCATCTGCAGTGGCGGATCCAGGAATTTGAAATGGAGGAGGCAAGGAGAGACTTTCACAGAAGGAGGGTCTATACCACCTGCAGATACCAGATTATGGCACATGGACGGAAACAGCAATCTCAGACTTTTAATAAATTTTAATATTTTCTCTTTTTTTCTCCATTTTTTAAAATTTTGCAAAATTTAGGGTGAATGGTGGAGGAAGGCTGGGTCGGCTGGGCTCCCCCTAAATCCACCACTAAGATTTCAAACTCCGGGTAGAATTTTAACAAAAGTTTACTAAATATATAATCATAGAAAAGTGTAAAGGCATTTGAGTGAATCGACCAAATATCACGATCGAAGTCATAAAAAGACAAAATATCACATCATAAAAAGGAATTAATTTTTACTTTCTTCATTGTAGCAACTATTGTCATTATCATTATTAGTATTGTTTTTTTTTAAATAATAGCACTGTATTTTTTATTGTTTATTATTATAGTGTTTTAAAAGGAAAATATTGGTAGTTTATAAAAACTGTTTCAAATTTAGACATATTTTATAGAAATGGAATTTACACTAATAATAAATTTGTACAAATACAGATACTGAGGCGCCAATTCTCAGCTGTCCTGCCGACATCATTCAAGCCACGGATCCAGGCCAGATAGCAGCCACCGCAACTTGGAGTGACCCAACAGTCATTGACAATGTTGATATGTTTCTGCCAGCCTTTTGTATTCCTCCATCTGGTTCGCTATTTAATGTTGGTTCAAATAAAGTTGTTTGTCAAGCTTCAGATTTGTCTGGAAACGTGGGCAGCTGTACGTTCAATGTAGTCAAAGGTAATATTGAGTCTTATCTAGTTAATCTTTAAATGTTTGTATTTCTATCTGTTACCTGGCCATCGAGCTTTGAACTTTATTGAACAACGCTTTTATAACAGTGGCACACGACATATAGAAGGTGCGTTCAAACAATATATAAGATTGTAACTTAAAACCACAAAAATACAAGAAAAAGAATGAAAATTAAAAAACAAAACAAGTAATAATTAGTTCAGAAAGAGCAATATTAAAAAATAAAATTAAAACCTAATGAATTAACAACACAGGACAAAGAAAACTAAATACAAGAAAAGATACTGAACAGCCCCCCCCCCGCACCCCCCCCCACCC